CTCGGTTTTCTAAGGAACTTTTAGGTTCAACTAGTTGCTATGATTTTGGGAAAAACAAAAGTAATAATCTAGCAAGTATGAACTTAAGGGTGAAGGTGACTTAGTGATGCTCGTGATGATACCCTAATCCGAATTAGAGAATCCAATTTAGGTGGGACACGTTTGAGAAGAATCTTAATCAACCTTCAAAACTAATTAGAGAACCATCTTAGGCATATGGATGGAGATTGGCCATAATAGTCTTTTTCCTTAATGCTTCCCTTATTTCTTAGCTCAAGAAATAAAATTTTCCTTAAACTCTAGTCAACCTAAAATCTTCCCCTTTTGTTTTTCTCTTTGTATTTAACAACCACCCCTAATTGATCACCCGGACAAAACTTGTGATCTAGGGATGATTTAAAACAAAACATAGAATAAATATTGGCTAGAATAGGTGTTATGAACCCGTAAAAAAGGGATCGAATTTTTCCTAGAAACTTTAAGTGTTCCTCCCTTTTCTAAAACCTAGAAAGCTAAAACTATAATCAATTTTCCTTTTTATCCCCTCAAAATTTTGCTTTGAATCCTCGCTCCCAATTCATCACAATGTAGTTCCATTTATAGGCAAACCGAATCCATCCTCCACCGAGGATCACCCTTAATCAATTAGAACCATTTCCCACTAATATCAAAGAATAGACTCTTGATGTTCTTGGCTTCTTATGGATGAAGAAAGAATTAATATAAAAATTATAGTGCATGTGTGCGGGTGTGATGCGAGAGGTGGAAATGTGATTCTTGACTAGTACAATTATTAGCTAAGAATTATAAAATTCGACATTGAGGGATTTGTCATCAAGGAATACGAAGAACAACACTCGGATTTTTAATTTTGGTTTGCTGCAATTGATGAGTCATTTGATCAGCTTTTGGTCTTATTGTTCGCTCCTCAATTTTAATTTGGTCCTTGTATATTTCAATTTCTATCAACTATACTCCCGATTTTTAGTTCAATTGTACTCCTATTGGCTTTCAATTTTTGTCCTCATTTTATTTAATTACACCCTTATTTCATTCAATTTCATCCCTAATTGACTTTTAATTTTAAATTTGATTGTTTTCAATTTCAGATCCTTATTCCCTTTACATTTAACCATAATTAATTATCCTATGAATTTTTTTTTGTATTTTCATTTCCTTTTTTCTTTTCTTACAAAAATAAAATAATAAAAATAAATCCTAATTTAAACATAATACTTGTAAAATTGACCAAAATAAACATGAAAAATGAAATAAAATAAATAGAAATAAAAGGAATAAAACTAGTAAAAAATACTAGAAAAGTAAATGAAAATAAATATAGCCTAAATTTTGAATTATGACATTTGCCTCCTCTTTACAATGTTGATGGTGTAAATGGCAACTAAAGTATAACTTCGATTGGGTTTGCTTAGTAGTATTGTAAAAAAGAAATAAATTGAGTGGCAAAAATGTTTTGATAGTCGTGGGTGAACTATCGTAAGAAATAAAATGTGATGGTTTTGGTGTCATGGATAGCCTATCCTAAAATGTAAAATATAATGGGCTTGTTTTCGAAGACAGTCTACCTTAAAAAGTAAAATACAATGGATTTATTGTTAAAGATGCTTTTTCCCAAAAGGTAAAATGGAATGACCTTGTTGTCAAGGGTAGTCCGTCTTAAAAAGTAAAATACGATGGTCAATTATGAGATGAATTTGCTTGAAAGGATGTTCTAGTGTGAGTTAATCTTATTTGAATGATGGTCTCTTATTAGGTGATCCTGTCTATAATGATGGTCTACTATGAAGCGATTCTACTTGAGTGATGGCCTATTGTTAGACAACCTTGCTTGGAATGATAGTCTATCGTTAGACAAGTCTTGCCTAGAATGATTACGAGGCAATCTTATTTGAATGATGATCTATTATTAGGTGACCCAACTTGGAATGATGCTCTATTATTAGGCGAACTCGTTTGGAATGATAGCCTATTGTGAGATGATCCCGTCTAAGAAGATGATCTATCGTGAGGTGACCTTGCTTGCATGATGGTCTATTGTGAGGTGATCCTACCTAAAATATTATTTTATTAGAAGACGATCTTGTCCGAAATGATAGTCTATTGTATGAAAACCCTACTTGAATGATAGTCTATTACGAGGTGACTCGTTTGAAATGATGGTCTATTATCGGACGATCCTATCCGAAATGGAAAATTATCACAAGACAACCTTGCCTAAAAAGATAAGCTAAGTTAGGAAACCTTTCCTAAAATGACGAACTAAGTTAGGAATCCTTGCCTAAACCGGAGAACTATCGTTAGCAACCTTGCCTAAAACGATGAACAAGGTTAGGTAGTCTTGTCCGAAATGGTGATTCAAGAAACATGAACTCCAACATGATCTTGTGATTTTCAAGTTTCTTGACTTGAATGACTACCTCATCTATACATTTGTGATGACATTATTGAAATATATTAATAAGATTGATTGCAATGGTTAAATTTTTACTAGTGAGAAACATAGGTTGCTCCACCTTATCGCCACTCAACTCTCCCTTTGGTGCTTCATTCTTGGCCATGTGGACTTATGTATTAAACCATATATTGCAAGCATCGTTAAAACTTCCTTGGCCTATAACACCACCGTCCTAGGTCCAAGATAGGTCAAAAATATTTTCGACAATGCCTCACATTCCAAGTACAATGAATGCGAGACATCAAGCTTTGTGTTGTTTTTACTCGTCTATTGAATTATTATTCACTATGAAAAATTATTTAATACAATTAATTAGGTCCATACTTCATTTAATCTAGGCGAGAAAATTTTTTCAAAATAAATTCCTTTCATAAGAATACTCTTTAATAAAATGTGTAGATATATTTACCCAAAAATATGGTCGGAAATTTACAAGTTGTAAAACTCAATTTAAATATTTAAATATAATATTATTAATTAAAATAAGACAATTTGGCCCTTTAATTTCTCCTTTTATTTTTATAAAAATTTAGATTAAATATATATTTATATTAACATGAAATAATCAACTTAGTCTAATTTATTATATTTCATTCCTAATACTTTTCTTTAAAGTTTAGATAAATTAAAATAGTCTTTATTATGTTTCGACGTCGGCCATCACGAGAGGAGGGGCTGAATCAAACGAGTCGCCACCTAGCTAATCGGGGAGAACTAGGAAACTCTAAACATATTGGTCCACATGGATATCCGGATAAGGGGTCGGTTACATATAGAGAAGACATGTCATCACCACCATCCCGTCCTACCTAAGATAGGTCGCATCGTTTGTCTATGAATGTAAAAATCAAGTTTTTATCATGTTATACTTTTATGCCTATTAAATGAGTTTATCTTGAAAAAATATGGGATAGGATGGCCTGGATATAAAACAAGGTATTTTGGACATTCGAAGTTAATCCAAGGCCAATATGTCTTACCCAAATGGAAAATAGGTAAAAAATGAGAATTTCGACTAGTCATTAGCGAATATGACCTATTATTGATAATAGGCAAGTTTCTAAAGATAAATAGCCTTTTATTAGCATGAGCTACGAGTCACCGACGACTTCGCTCACACAAGTGAGAAGCCACCGACGACTTCGAGTTATGTATTTAAGAAGTTATCGATAACTTTGACACAAAAGTGAAAAGTCATTGACAACTTCATGTCACTCCAGTAAGGAGTAGATAATTATTTACAAGCGATCGGCGACTTCGTCAAATAAGTGGGAAGCCACCGACGGCTTCATTGCGGACAAGATAGACATTAAATGAAAAAAACTATTTTTGAGGCCATCGGCGGCTTTATTTTGATGAAATAAATTAAGAAAAATAAAAAATATGTAATAGGGACTAAAAGCAAAAAAGCAAGAAAAAAAGGCATTGCAAAAAAGGAATCGAGCATAGAAATCGATAAAATTGCTCCGAAGCCCTTCGACGGCTTCGTCACATAAGTAGAAAGCCACCGACGGCTTCATTTTGATGAAAATCAATCATGGATAGATAATTAAATCACAAGACTTCACATTTGGACAACTAAGTATGCAAACCGGAAAGCAACTTAATTTGTCTTTTGGTATCGGCTACGTACAACAATGTTTATTTCAATCACATTTAAACTATGGCTATTCAAACAAAATGCAACGACTTTATTCACGCAAACCAATAGCTCAATCATTTTTAATCATTTGTCATTTTTTTAGAAAATATGCAATGGTTTTAGAGTTTTACCCAAGAGCTCGAAACTTCGATGTCCGAAACAAAATCAATTGTACTCTCTTTAATCTCGATGAAAACCGATTGTTCGATTAGCCGAGAAAGGAGAGTACTTGTCCAAAATTTCCTCCGTTACTTGTGCAACTACTTGAAATGTTGCTGAAAAATTTACGAGGGCTCCTAAAATCTTACAAGATTTCCTAAAAATCCAAAATGACTTTCTTGCTTGTATTTTCCTTTCAAAACCCAAAGAATTACGATCTACAATGTCATGTTGTTCCCGCCAATATAATCCAACAAAAAAAAAAAAACCATCTTATTCCCTTTAACTTTTTTACTCTTATTTCTTCTTTTTCAGCAGCTCCAAAATGTGTGCAAAGGGTTGTTTTGAGACGGGTTTTGTGGCTGTCTTGGTGGCTATTTTGGGGAGTTTTTGGCACTATTTTAAAGCTTGTTTGGGACATCTTTTTAGGGCTGGTTTGGTGGTTTAAAGAGGTCTGTCTAAAGGGGCTTCTCTGTAAAAGTTTTTAGGGGTTGTTGGTAATGGTTGCAGTGGCTGATTTTTTGGAGTTTTGATAGGTTTTTCGGGTCTGTTTGGGGTTGGTTTTGGGGCTGATTTGGGGTTACTTTTGAGGGTGTTTTGGGGCTAATCTAAAGCTACATTGGGAGTATTTTATGGCTGTTTTGGATGAGGGAGAAGTCAGCTAAAAGGGGGCTGCAGAGAAGCTATTCGTAGGGCTATTTTTGGGCGGTATTGGGTGTATTTATGGAGGAGGGTCGGATGTTGGGCTATGAGGCAAAAGGGAGAGTTCGGGCAAGGCTGGTGCAAGCTCGAGGCAGGCCCGAAGGGGTTGTAGGCGTGCTTGTGGGTGCCGACTTAGGAGAGGGCGTGTGTGAGGCAATAGAGGATGGCTAGGCGCACGAGTGAGGCTTGGGTTGTGGTGTGACCGGCGAAGGCTTGTGTGGGAGAAGGCCGAGGCTGTGGCGTCCATGTGAGGCTGTTGTAAGGGAGAAGAGTGCTAGTGTGGTAATGGCCGTAGGTGAGGGGCAAGAGGGCTATGGTGGAGCTGTGGGTGAGGGGGCTGGTGTGTAGGGGTGTAGGTGAGGGAGAGAGTAGTTGGTTGGTGGTCGGCGATAGGGAGTCGGTGTGGGAGCTTTGGTCTATGTTTTTTTCCGGCGATCGCTATATGTGGGTTCTCTATGAGGATGAATAGTGTTAGGTATATATAAAAAAAGGCATGGGGTGGGCTAAATATCGGTTTGGTCTTTGGTTTCTTCTTATGCATTAATTTGAGGTTGATTTTGCTTTTTCTATTTTTATTTTAATTTGAGCCCCTCTTGTAACTAATTGAGACTTTTATTTTATTTTTTCCAAATCGTGCCCCTTTATTGTTTTATTTGAAGGACAAAAGTTTTTATTTTTTTTATTGGGCCTTTAATTACACTTTTCATCACCTCTAAACTTTTCACTTCTTCAATTAACCCCTTCCGCTTTCTTTTTCTCTTCTCACTTTTTTTTTTTAATTAACCTAAACTAATTATCCCAATTGATTTTTTTCATTCTTCGATTTTCTCTTTTTCCTTTTTTTTGTTTCCATTTTTGTTTTTACCCTTTTTTTTGGGTATTTTCATAATAACAAAAACAAATAAATAACTAAAGGGGAGCAAGAATTTAGGTGTTAACATTATGAAACAATCAATTAATTTAACCAATCAATTGAATAAAACTCCCAATATTTATCTTCTAGACATTTAGATTAATTAAAAAGAAGAAAAATCAATTAGCCATTCTTTAATTAATCACCATTTAAATTAACTTATATGTTTAAATTATGGTACTTTCAATTTAATAGGAAATCCTTAAGGTTAGAGAATCAATTGATTAATTCTTAAAACTTTAATTTATCCCATTGGAAGCTGAATCATGAGTTAAGCCTTTTGAAAACTATTTAGGTTTAGAAAACACTAATTCTAATTAATTGTTCCATATCAATTAAACTCAATCAATTAAATTCAATATTCCATATCCATTAAATTCAATTGTTTACTACCAATTATATCCGATTATTTCATTCGAATTAAATTATAGCCTTTAAGTCCATTAAACTATTTGACCCTTTAATTACTAAATGCTTATTTAGTCCAATTTAGTTCCTTATTTAATCAATTTATTTACTTTGGCCAATTTTACTAGTCTAGCCATTAATTTTGGTCACAAAACCAATTTTACACTTCTACTATACACATTTAGATTCATTTAATATTTAGAGTGTACCTAAAAGTGCTATTAACTTAGAAACCATTAATGTTAACCCTAGCACACATACTAAGGTCCAAAAACATGATATAATGGAAAAGATAAAGTCTTTTAACTCACTCCAATAGATTAAGCAGACTTGATTGCCACTCCAATCCTTAATTTAACACACACCATCGGTTAATACTTTTCTTACCTACACCACAAGAAGAAGAAGAAAAAGTGATCTTTGCTTAGTAAATGTATTCCATGCATGCAATGCTCATGATGCATTAACAAATCCTTTCCGTGCCTTTTGACATTCATTTTTCTCCTCTAATGCACCATACCGATTGTGTATATAACCAATCCTTTTTTAAAATATATAATTGTGAAAAATCACAAAAGCACTAGGTACCTTCCATTTTCCTTTTCTATTACCTTTTTATTTTCCTTTTCCTCACAAAAGGATGATCATTCCTCTTGCAATTCTTTTAGAGTACCCGACCATTTCCCTTGAAAACATGCCATTTTCTTTTTCTTTTTCTTTTTTAATCAAAAACCATGAAAGCAAATTTTTTTCAGGATTATGACATAAATATGCATTCAAATGAAATGCATAACCTCAACCTTTTCATGAACGAGTAACATATACTTAGTAAATTAATGGATGCATGAATTTAACATTAAATCAAATAGACACCATAAGCCATAAAATCTTGCACTTGGCCGAACTATATCAAGTAATTTTCATCTCATGTAACCAAGCACAAAATCAAGCAATAATCACATATATTCATCCTTAGACAACCTAACAAACATTAATTCAATAAAATTTCAAGGAATTATGCAATTAATCCTAATTATTACCCTTGGCTGAATTATTCATTTTATATAACCAAGGAGAATTTTTCTATTTAAACACTTATTTTCATGCTAATTCATTCTTTTAAACAATAAAAAAATATTAAACATCAACTAATCCAATCACTCGTAAACTTAAGGTTTTGGTTGAAACATAATAACTAAGCAATCCGCATAAATTCATTAATTAAAAAAATTTATACACATTTAATCCATCATATACATATGTGATTAACTCAATTACCCAAGGTAATCCAATTAACTCAAATTCTTAGTCATGGTCGAATCTCCTAATCAAACCAAATCCATGATAATTTTTTAATTAGACACATTTAACATACTTAAGCAACCTAAAGAACATCTAAGTAACATAATCATATGAAACTAATTAATATTCCCCAAAACATGGTTAGGTTGAAATATTCAACCCTAATCCAACAACTTTAAACTCTTAATTAGACTTTGATTACATACTTAAGCATGTTAATTCATCCATCAAAAGCATGATTTATCAATAATTCACCAAGATCAAATAAGTTCAACATAAACCAAATAATCAAACATTAAACTCACAACCTATAAAAACCCAAACATTATCTATCAAGCATCAAAAAAATAACTTGTTGTGGTGTAGTTGGAACTACATTTACCTTGATTGATGCTCGATTAATTTCTACCTTGGTGGCTTGCAAACTCCTCCTCCTTTCCTTCCTCCAAAGTTTTGGGCCAAACCCTTCTTTTTTACCCCTTCTATATTTGGCTTTTCTAAGTGTTTTTAAATTAATTTTGGAATGTGTTTAAGGTTATTTTATGTGTTTGGATGTTGGTTTGTCTTGATTCTCTTTGATTTTTGGCTTGATTTCAAGGTGTTTTTCTTTAATATTTCATTTCTTCATCACTCTTCTCCTTTCCTCTTTGGATGAATAAATAGAGAAGAAAATCACTTAAGATTTTGCCAGTTTGGAGACACTTGGATTCATCCATTTGATTCCTTCACCATGTAATTTCTATAGGATTTTCTCTAATTTTCTTCACTTTTCTTTGATTTTTCTTTAGATATTTTTCTCTTTATTTTCCTCACATGGATGAATTAATTAGCCTCTCTTTATCCATTTTCTTTTGTTCAATTCTGGTTGGAAATCATGAATCCAATCAAATTAGTTGATCCCCTAATTTATCAAAATTTTTACATTTTGGTCACCAAAGTTTATTAATTAATTACATTGGTTCCTTACATTTTAGTCCCTAATATTTTAATTTCCACGACTAAGCCCTTAATTTAGGCTTTCCTAAGTTTCATAGTGGTCAATTAAATTTTTTAATTATTTTAATTAAGTACCTCAACTTTAAATGATGCAATTATATCCCTAAGGTTTTAGAATTACATCCCTAGGTTGTCACACATCTATACAATTAATAATATAAACTTACTAACTTAGGCACTTAAAAATTCATTCATCTTACATAATATTCATGTGTGCACAAAATTATTTTCTATGAAAAAATAAACATTAATTCACATATTAATTAAATATTCATTTATTAAATAAATGTAATTCTTCACACGTGTGCGCGCACACACACACACAATATATATATATATATATATATTATATTCCTCCTTAGAAAAAATTCAATTCTCAAAATTCCTTATTCAAACAAGTTTTGGGTACTTTGCTCTCATTTCGCTTCTCATTCCCACATAGCTTCTTCTATATTGCGGTTCTTCTTCAATATTTTTATAAGGGAAATCTATTTATTCCATAATTGTTTTACCTCTCGATCCAATAGTTGTACTAGTCGTTCTTTATAGTCGAAGTCTAGTTAGAGGTTTAGTGGCTCATCTCTTAAAATATGGTTTCGGTCTTCCATATATTTCCTTATCATAAATACATAAAATATATTATGTACTAATGAGAGAGATGAAGGAAAAGCTAAACTGTAAGCGTAGTCTTTAATTCTCTCTAATATTTTGAATGGCCCAAAATACCTTGGAATTAATTTTCCTTTCTTCCCAAATCGCATTACACCTTTCATTAATGCCACCCTTAAAAATAATCGATTGCCGATGTCAAATTCTAAGTCCTTTCTCATCGTGTCGATGTAAATCTTTTGTTTGCTTTGAGCCACTTTCATTCTCAATCCGATATGCTCAATGACCTTAGTTGTTTGCTAAATCAATTTAGGTCCTAGTAGTTTTTACTCAACAATATCATCCTAGTTATTAATGATCTACATTTCCTTTCATATAGAGCTTCATATGATGCAATACTAATACTTGTTTGGTAATTGTTGTTATAAGCGAATTTTGCCAATGGTAAATATTTCACCTATAAAACATAGGCTCATAACATATCTTTTAGAATTTGATTCACCCTCTCTATTTGTCTATGACTTTATGGGTGAAAGGTCTTACTAACATTTAAATTGGTTCCCATAACTCGATCTAAACTCCTCTAGAATTATGATGTGAACCAAGGGTCTTAATAAAAAACAATCAAAACTAAAATTCTATGCAATCTCATGATTTCATTTAAATATAATTTTGCATACTACTGTATGAAATAAGTGGACTTAATCGATAAAATGTGAGCTGATTTGGTCAACCTATCAACGATGACCCATATACCATTAGCTCCTATATTAGATCATGGCAATCTGAATATGAAGTCCATGGTTATATGTTTCCACTTCCATTCAAGAATATCTAATAGTATTAACAATCTCGATGATATCTAATGTTCAATCTTGACTTACTAACTTGTTAAGTATTATGCCACATAATTATTAATGTCTCACTTCATGCCTCTTCACCAATAAATCCTCTTTAGGTCTTGGTACATTTTATTACCCTTTGGGTGGATAGAGTAGGGTGTAGTGTGAGTTTATTTCAAAATATCTTTTACTGAAGGAACATATAATCTACCATGATAACTCTAAATGCCTTCACTAACTATGGCAAAATTAGTGATCTTTCCTTTAGCTACATCTTT